GCTCCCTTTGAAACAATCTGCGAAGTTTCACTTTCGCCCTTCAGGGACCATGAGACTGAGGCTTCCGGTCTTTCTGGCGTTGGTATGGTTCTCGAAGAGACAGCTGGAATTGTCCATTTTCAACTGCAAAATAACTTTAATATTACACAGAATATGTCGCGTGCTTTTTGAAAGATTCTCAGTTCATAAGTTTGATCACTCTGCGTTGCCTTTCTTTTCAATCCACATGTCACTCTCAATTCAAATACATTTCCATTCTAGTGCGATGAAAATGTTTGTGATAACCAACAAAGAGCACTGGACACCTGTTTCGTCCTGTTTGGAACCCGTCAGCAGTGCGTACTTTTTGTGTCCCTCTCGGGACTCGAAATGCGATTCTTCGGGCTGGGACTTCAGACCCTTACCCTTGAGCTACACGGTTGATGGTCACCTTGTGCGAATGGCTCAATCAATTTAGATGGTGAATGTTTGGATTAGCCCATTCGGTTTTTCACAGGCACCAGGCACTGTTGATGAATTGATTGAGTTATTCGCACAAGGTGATAACCATCAACCGTTTAGCCCAAGGGTAAGGGTTTGAAGTCCCAGCCCGAAGAATCGCAGTTCGAGTCCTGAGAGGGACACAAAAAGTACGCACTGCTGACGGGTCCCAAACAGGACGAAACAGGCATCCAGTGCTTTTTGTTGGTTATCACAAACATTTCCATCGCACTAAAATGCAAACAACAGTGGGGAATTAACGATTTCCCAAAGCTACCGCGTTGGTCCTGAAACTTACATATGCCTGTATTTTGTGCTTCTCAATGATAGGGTGACACAGCTTATCAAGCTAATTTCAACAGAAGTCGAAAACCATCCATCCGTTCGTGGACCTCAGTTGGCTGGTCTGGATTTGTTGACCAACGCTTTGCGACGCGGTTGGGATAAATATCCACAAACAGACACAGTTAATCTTCTGGAGACATATGTGAACAATTTTTCGGCGAAACCAATCTGCGCACTGGATCTGGCCTATCTTATTCCTGTTCTACTTCCGAAGGAACAGATACGAAAACAGGTTGGTTCTCCGTGGCTGATTTTCGAATAATGTACTTGAGTAATTACGTTCACCTGTGCCCATGTGTATCAGCATTCATATTGATCTGTTAGTATTCGAGATTGTGAATCGGCTTCATGAACTTTTCGCGTTGTAACTATCCACACACGGGGTCCGCGGCTAAGTCCTGAAAAAAGATTGACCAACTTTTGTTCTAAGTTCTCCNAACCAGTTGTCCGGCTGTCTGTATCAGCGGCACCGCCAGTGGAAGCTTCGGGTGGAAGGGGGGGGGGAAGGGATTCAGAGCTAGTTTGAACATTTCTTCTCTGCTCGCTGTAGTGTATAGCCGGAATACAAGATGGCGCTGTTAAACTATTACTTATACGCGTTTTATGTTGTTGCATCAACATTGCGCTTCTTAGATTCCATTGACACAGTACCTCGAGTTTGCTTGTATCTTTGGCACACTGGCAAAGCTTTACACCCATATGGAAGGAAAAACGATATAGGAACCTGGAGTATTTTGAAACTGATCTCATTATTTTCACTTAGGGTAATTGTTCAAATGATGTTTCGGCATACGTTTCGAGATATTTTTTCAGATTGCAAAATGCATCCGTTACAGTACTCAAGAAAACAAGCTGTAGAAGAGCATGCTTTTGGTGATTTCCTCCTCGGATCATTACAAAACACTTTTTCAACTATTTTGGTTTTTTGTTTTCTCCTTTGAGTGTGCTTTTGAGGACTTGAGAGCGAAATGAACCAAAATATATGTTCGACTAGACTCGTTCTGAATGTTTATTGGCGTTTGATTTGGAAATTATAAGTAGCCTCGGTGGGATTAGAAACGACACAGGGACGCCACCTGCGCTTTGTACACCATATAACCAACTTGCTGAGTTATGACGCCACACAGACTCCAATACTTTAAATGTTGATCGCCTACCCAACCTGCAAATGCATGCGCACATCCCTTTATCTTTAAGCTGTCTGTCCCGAAATATTTTTCTCGAATTCCTTGTAAAAACGCTCTTTGGGCGTTCTCGATTCGATTAGTTATTGCGTTTTTGGTGTGGTCGTTATTAAGTACCTGGTCTAGGGGCAGTTTCAATTCTCTATTCATTGATGGAATAAACTTGACTATGGTTAATACGAACGACAAGGTCGTTTTGGTCATATTGATCATCAACTCGATGGTTTGCACAGTGGGGTTCACATGAGCAAGCAGTTTTTAGAAGCCACCAGCTATCAGCACTAAATGGTCGACAAAATTGAAGTTTGTTATGAGAGTCTCTCATGGCACTTGGTCACTGTGGTTCCCGGCGAGGGCTTGCTGCAAAATACAATCTACTGAGAGATTGAATGTAGTAGGTGAAGTTGAGAAACTGGTCAACTTAAAAGTTCGAACACCTTTATCTTTTGTTCCAACTCGGGTTTTGAGAATATATCAGCATGATGTGAGCAGATTCGTTGGCGAAACCATATCGATTTTCTCAATTGCTTTAGTGTCCTTAGATCAACACAGTCGAATATCGCTTGGAAGTTGGGAAGGTAAACGACCGTCCTCTAGCGGATGTTGTACCTGTGCTGATTTGCTCTTGGATCCGTTAGGAAAAAATCCAGAACGAAGAATCTTTTGGTAGCGCACAGTACACGAGACTCTTGGTCGAGTAACTAAACTTTGACCGGTACTCTCTGCTCGCATTGTAACCGTGAAGAGAACGCATGGTGATAAACTTGCTGCTGAGAAATAAACGGGTCATGACATCCCAACAGTCCACCAATGATTGATTTTTCAGACTGAATTTCCAAGTTAGCTCATTTTGGGGAAGACTTCTTCTGTGGATCAGCACACAAGTGTGTTTAATAATAAAAGAAAACTTGATGTGAATTCGTTTTCGATCGGCTTGCCGTTATTTCTTGGGAATACCTAAGTCAGACTGGTTCCCTATTTGCACACGGAGTGTTATATTGTTTTAATTGTTTAAAAGAACTGGGCATTGGTTAAAGTATGAGCGCTGGTGGATAATTCACATCGGTTGTTCAGTTCTGTGATTCGGCGACCTGAACTCCAGGACTGGAAGTGAAGGATCAGTCTGCTACCGAACCGGGAAACGGCAACGCTTGCTACCGTCGCGCAGGTTACTGATTGCAGTGTCATGCTTGACTCATCGTGTTCGTTTAATTTTTCCATTGGTTCCGCTTACGTCATTATTCGATCCAATTTTATGATACTGTTTAAGTTTTCTGGTGTAATATTTATCTCATAAAAGAGTCTGCGACCTAAGACTTACTCAAATTTATTATCCAATCATAGCAACGAAATACCACGTGAATCATTTTGTTGTTTTGTCTTACCACTATTTTTATTTGCATGTTTTAGTTTCTCGAAAAAATTATCCGTCAATCAGAAGACGAAGCAACCGTAAGTTCTTCTGTTTTCCGTCTATCTCGTGTTCTTATCTCGCATTGTTTACATGTTGTCATGTTATTTCTCTTCACCCCGCACAATAAGTCAAGTTTTTGGGAATTCAAAGTAGTTCCTGCGTTAAACCAGAGATTTAATATGGGACTCAAGTGACACACTATCGTGGTTGAGGTTAATAGCTTTACATAGAAGGTGTTTGAAATAAGGATTATGGAGGGAAAAATTGAAGAGTATACTGTACAGTATTAGAGCGCCGAAGCGTCGTTTCTATCAGTGAGCTATTTTTCAATAGTGCATCACGACTTCCATTCCCTTCTCTAATATGCGTACTGACGAGATGCAATCGCTGCATCAAACCGAATTGAAGCAAGTGTAAACATTATTTGTTGTTTGTCCGTACAATGAAGCTATTAACTTAGGAACATATCAGTGGTCATATTTTAAATAGCACAAATCAAAATTTTAGTTTTGTATAGTAGCTCGAATCTAGGTCTGAGCCACTAACACACGCACTTTTCACGCGAGAAGCATGCTTCATCCCCTCTCAACTTCTGGCTTTTTTTCAAAACCCAAATACGTCCGACAATGGAATAGTGTAGCTTTCTCAGGTGGGGAATCTTCTTCTTTAATACAAAACGTCCACTGTGTCACGGATCCGTCCTTCAACATCCACTCGTCAACTACCTACGCATCACTTACAAATTTCTTTTGGACCCTTTTCTGCCATCATGAGCACAGAACTCGCTCTGCGGAGCTGACCGATCCGGCCGATCCTTCTTGCACTACGGATGGGGTCATAAGCGTCAAGTCACAGGCGGCTACCCTTAAAACATGTCGCACGTTAGCGTTCAAACCCTCGTTTTTCCAAGAGCCGCACTTACTTGGTTTTACCCCTTTTAATCTTTATATATTCGGACCTAGAATCAGCGAATTATTAATTTTTGGATGAATTTTCCCCACCTCACTGTATACTAATTTTTAGGATTATGGGATCTACTTATCTACTGCTTGTCACATGATTAAAAATGATTTCGTTTCGTTCCATGCACGCGCATGTAAATCTATGCACTAAAGTGAAGTCCTACCTTGTTTAATCATTGCGGCTACAAACATTTTTGTGGCTAGATTGTACTCTCTTCCCATACATCTAATCGCTTGATGCGGTAAATAAAAAAACTTTCGCCAAAGCCTTTTTATCCGATTCTGTTTAGTCTTCCATCAAGATTAACATCAAATTATGAAAATTTTGTCATTAGCAATAATTTACCATTGCTATTCCTTCTGTTACAATTTATCATCTTTGATTGTAATAATCAATGCAAGTGAACTATGAGAAGTAACATATAGTGCTGTCGTAGGTGACGCGCTAATCCAACGGTACTAGTTGACAGTTGATGATTTCCTATTGACCAATAATTATTGCAAAATGGTTTATCAAACGAATGGGGAATTTGGTTTGATTAGATCATGAATTCGTCGTGTTAATGAGGCGTGAGCTGAAAAGCTAGGAAACCCAAGGACAGAAGAGTGTTTTCACAGGATTGTGGTCCTTGATGGGAGTTCTCCTAGCTCAAAGAAGCCTTATTGCAGTAATGCTCCGAAGCAATCACTGTTCACCGTTTCGGTTCACTGAAGTTTGCTGTTCGTAACCTATTCTGACATGTTTTTTCGGTCATGTATTACATTTCATTTCTGTGCGTTTCACCAGAAACGAAGCGTCTGAAGCCGAGTAACAAATAAATTTTGTTGAATTTCTTCGAGCCTGGCAATTTGTTTACAAAAGTTTCATCACTAGCCTAGATGAGATCTCTTCAGTGCGTGTGAATTGTCATGAATCACTTATTCATCGAATGCCTCACGATTTCTATTCTGAAATGCAGCCGAGTGGTTATAAACTTCCTGAAGATGATAGCATATATATATATATATATATATATATATATATATTCTGGGTTAACCAACAACAATCCCCATCCCTTGGGCCCCAATCTGGAAGGTGGGCTGCATCAACTGAAGCCAAAGCTGAAGCCAGCTTCTCTGTACCTCTACTCCGCGTCATGGTCTGACCACCGCGGCGCTTCTTTCAGCTTTGCCTGGCACGTGCAAAGAGAGTACGGAAAGGTAGTCGGTGGCAGGTATACGCAAAGCGTGACCAAACCATCGGAGGCGGTGTAGAGCGATTACTTCTGTTAGAGAACGACTATCCGCATTCAACACACGACGACGAACCTCGTCATTACTCACCCGGTATCCTCACCTGACACGAGCAATGCTTCGGAGACATTGTTGGTCAAATACAGAAAGTCGATTAGCATCCTCAACGCGAAGGGGCCAGGTCTCGCAACCGTAAAGTAGAACACTGCGAACCGCAGCGATGTATCCTACCCTTAAGGGACAGTCGGATGTCATGGCGGCGCCACAAGTGTCGCAGGTTAGTGAAAGCTGTTCTAGCTTTCGCTGTTCATGATGTGATCTCCCCAACACCTCCACCAGCTGCGATCGAGCTCCCGAGGTACTTAAAGCTCTCGACTACTTCTAGGTGATCACCACCGAGGGTGAGTGCAGGCACAGGCTCCTTCCAGTCTTGAACAAGCACTTGGAAGGTGCAAAGCACATAACATACCTGGAGACCTCTATCGCCAAGCGGTTCAAAGCGTTTTGGACTGCCTATGTGTTGTCACCCAGCAAGGCGATGTCATCGGCATATTCTAAGTCAAGGACTCTGTTCCCTGGGAGGAGTTTGACTCCACCGTTTGCTAGACCGGACAAAGCATTCTGTAGAACATCTTCTATGGTGAAGTTGAAAAGAAATGGGGATAAAAGTCAACCTTGCCGAACTTCACTGGAGACGGTGAAGGGTGGCAAAAGTTGGTCATAGGTCCTAACCCGACCTGCGGTATGAACGATACAACTCTTTAAGGATCGACACATACTTCTCAGGTATTCCATTCCTCAGGGAACAGTTCCATGGTGCGGTCGTATCGACAGAGGTGAAGGCCGGATATCCAAGAGTATAATGATCTTCGGTCTTTCGTAGGCATGACGGTGCTCTGGCAGCTGTTGGAGTGTGAGGAGTTAATCGATGCATCCACGACCAGCACAAAAGCCATCCTGCGCCTCACGCTTAGTGTACATTCGGCGGAGAATGATGGACGCCAACAGGTTTGACGTTATTGGGATAAGGCTTGTATCCGTATGATTAGCGCAGTCATTGCGCGGGTGCTTTTTGAAAATGGGGACAACAATCGATTCCCTCCACTAGGAGGAGAGTACACAACAAGCCTTATTCCACCATCTTTTAATAGGGCTGAGAAATGGCCATCGGAGCCCGGCGCTTTGATACGTCCCAAGGTTTGGATCTCCTTATTGATTTCGGCGTCAGAAGGNCAGAAGGTGAGTCTGTTGACAGACCATGGGACGTGTGTCGGAATAGCTGTGCGAGAAGCTGTCACTGGAGGCCAGCTAAACTGTGCTTTGAAGTGCTCCGCTCAGCGTTCAAGACGTCGCTATAGATTGTAAATAGGCGAACCGTCAGCTTTGAAGATCGTTTCGCTCACACC